TATCTTTTTCCGTTTAAGATTATCTTTGTATAAAACAGTATAGCTGTTTAAAGATGATATACTGTAAGCGTTCTTTTAGCAAACTCTATGAGAAAGTTGTCCTCGCATTGTAATCATTGTTTTTCTCCTCAGAAAGGTTCAAAGTGCAAAATGTAACACACAGAATGCATGAAATGATAAATTTATCTGTTGCATAATAAATAAATACACTTGTTCAACAATGAAGGCCGCAACTAACTGTACATATTCTTGCAGGTAATACTCGTCATCGTGGCGAACATCACGCTGAAAGAGAAACAAGTTGGTGGAGAAGTGATGGTTCGATCATGGGTTATAAAGCGCTATACTGTCGTGTATGTGTCGTCGCAACGGCGGACTTCGGCTGAGCGAACACCACTGGCGCCCTGGGCGGGCAGGCAACAAAATAAACGCAAAGATAGTGCTAAACAATGGGCATTGCAGGATGATCGTGCAAATAACTGAACCAACTTGCTACTCTATGAACTACGTGTTAGCAACTCTGGCAGATCGTTTTCGTACTTTTTCGGAATTAGTAAGTAACTCAATCCTGGCAACTGAGCACCTCGAATCGACTGAACAGGCACGAAAACATAAGGAACATTGGGGAATTGAGGCAGGGTAATGGTCGTCTGCGATGTGTTAGCGATCGCTACCGTGCTGTGCTCATTACCTGCTTGAGGTGATGTCGTGCTATCGGCCGCGCTCGTGATTTCGTTCGACGGTGATTCCGCACCAGTGCCCGTGAGCAGCGTGGAGGTCTCGGAAGGAACTGTCGCGCTTTCCTCAACTGCGCTACCTTCTGCGGTACCTTCTGGAGCCTCTGCAGATCCCTCTGCAGCCTCCTTGTGCTCCACCTCCTTAGGAGCTTCTGCTCCAATAACGGGTTGAGAAGAAGTAGCTGTGGACTGTTCGGCGGCCGTTATGTCCGTCATTGATGAAGAGGGTGTTTCCGCAGCTTCTTTCTTTTCTCCTTCCGCTGTAGTTTCGGCTACAACCTCGGTGATAGTTCCGGCAGCCTTTCCTTCATCTGAGGCATCACCCGCCGTGGTGTTTTCTGCCACTACTACCTGAGCGTCCACGACCTTGGCCTCCTCTTCAGTGCCTGAACCACCTTCTTTGGCAGCAGCTTCGCTCTCGGGAGTCTCGGTTGTGGCGTTAGTCTCAGATGCAGTGCTGGTACTCAAACCCTCTGCTAGAGCTTCGCCTGTGCTACCTGTAGCGGTCTCGGCTGTGGTCTCTGAAGGCTGCTTCGTTTCACCCTCAGTTGCCTGTGTCACTTCTTCGGCCTTAGTAGT